GGAAGATGAGGCTGAAGGCTGGGCCCAGACCCAGGTCTCGAACCTGCCCTTAGAGTCCACCCAGCTCTGGCACCGCTGGCCTGTGGGAACTCTGGGCCGGGGCAGCAGGGGTGAGTTGGGCTCCAGGTGCAGAAGCAGCTGCCCCTAACACCCAGAAAGGGGCAGCTGGACCTGCGGGTTTGGGGTGCCGCTCACCTCCAGTGCCTCTTTCTCAGGGGCCTGGGCCGCCGGCCACGCCTCCTGCCGCAGCTGCCTCAGCTCCGAGCCCTGCAGCTCCAGGCGGGCCCGCACCTGCAGCAGCGCGCCCAGCAGGCTCCACGTGGCGCGCTCACAGCGCTGCTTGTGCACCCGCAGACGGGCCCCCTCGGCCTGCAGCTCCACCACCCTGGCCGGGCGAGAGTGGGTGAGTCTGGAGGTGCCCCAGTGGAGGCAGAGGTCCTCCCTCCCCAGCACCCCCCGCAGGGCTCACCACTGCTCCAGCTGGCTCCAGCGCTTGGCGGTGTTCTGCTCGGGGACGGAGGCCGTGGATGTTGGGTGGCTGGATTCGTACCTCTCGGAGAGCTCTTCCAGGTTCAAGGGCTCAGGGCTGGCCAGGCCTCCAGCCAGGAGGAGCCCCAGGTCTTCCAGGGTGACGGCGCTCGGCTGGGAAGGGGCCGAGGCCCCTGAAGGGCTGCTGTCATCCAGCTCTACAAGGAAGCATCTTAGGAGTTCGCCCCTCGGGGCCTGGCTCGCAGTGGAGCTTATGGGAACAGGGCCCCAAATCCCTGCAGGACCCTCGCCCACCACCCAGAGCCCAACGCGTCTCCCTGAGTCATACAGAACATACAGAATCCCGAAGGGCTCAGCTCAGAGAAGTCCAGGGCCTGAAGACACACAGCACTGGGCGGCAGCAGCATGGCAGCACCCCACCCGGCCAGCTCCAGAGGGAGCCCTGGGGTCAGAAGCAGAGCTGCCTCCACCCCCACACCCATGGCAGGGCCCTCCATGGGCCCCCAACCTCCAATCCCCGCCCTCGGCTCTGGCTCACCTGACATGGCTGCCTGGGCTGCACCAGCCACTCTGCCCGAAGCCGTGACCCGCGCGTGGGACCTCTGAGATTGCCAAGACCTGGGCACAGGCCAGGGCGGCAGGGGCCAGAGAGAGGAAGTCCCGTGAAGACTCCAGGCCTCAGGCGTCAAGAGATGAGCTGCTGCCCTAGTCCAGATGCCTTCCCAGGGTCCCCAAGGAGGCAGGTGTGCGGGGTCAGCGGGGCTGTTCTGGAATCTTCCTTCTCTCCCCAGAACCTCGTGGCTCCACAGCCCAACTGCCAGTGGCCCTGGAGCCCTCAGCTCCCCCACTCCCACAGGCCCCGAACTGCCTGCTTCCGGATGGATCAGGGGCCCATTCCCAAGGGGGTACAGACACCTGCCCTCTGGCAAAAGGGGCTTCTTTCAGCTGCTGGGGAGGGGCAGGAGGGAGGGACCTGAGAGCCCCAGGACAGCACAGACCCAGCCAGGCCCCAGCTGAGCAGAGCCTGAGGCCTGGGCAGCGCCAACAGGTGGGAGGGGCAGCCAGGCTACACATAACCTCAGCCTTGCTTAGCAGCCCATTAAAAACAGAGGCCACGTGAATCCTAACGGTTTGTTTCATGTGACCTAATACATCCACAATATTATCACTTCCAGGTACTCAGCACAAAGCCACTGCGAAGGAGCCCCGCCCCGAGTTTCTGGTGCCACCGCAGAGGCCCCGAGCTTCCTCCTTGCTTCAGCGCAGCTCAGGTACCCGTGGCACCGCCCCGCCCCACCTCCACTGGCAGCACCTTGGCATCACCTCCAGACCTACCAGCCAGAGGCCCCCCCCGAGGCAGGCTGAGGGGCGAGGATGAGGAAGAAGGCGTGGCTGGTGCCCTGGTGAGGCAGGCACTTCCTATCCTGTCGGCCCAGGTGGCTGCAGCTGCTGTTTTTCATGCCTCTCCTTCCACCCAGCACCCCAATCCCAGGGCCCCGAAAGGCCCAGGCTGTTAGAAGTGGTCCGGGCGGGTGGCAGGGACGATGCTGGATTTATTTATTTCACACATTCAGACCCGACACACTCAAGACACTTTGGGGCCCTGTAAGGGCTAAGCAGGGGGTGTGGCGTCAGCTCCTGGGGAGGCCCCACTCCCTGGGAAGGAAATACATGGCAGGGGACCGCATCCAGCTCCCCACAGAGGGACCAGTGTGGCTCTAACAGGGACACTGAGGTTGCCTCTATCACCCTGTGAGAAAAGGCCCTGCGGTGACCGCAGACCCAGCCTAGCCAGCCAGGCAGGGAGCCTTCGAGGAGCGCTCACGTGGGCAGGCAGAGGGCTTCTCAGCCCTGGTGCCCACCAGCCCTTCTAGCCACCTGGGCTGGGCCAGATGTCCTCCCAGGCCAGCAGGAGGCTGATTCCTGCTGCATTTGCATCTGGTGGCTGGCAGGGGCGGGGCTGGGAGGTGTACGACACCTGCCCACTCCAGGAAACACAGGAGCTGCGGCCAGGGTCCCCACACGCTAGGAGATCTGCCTTCCCAGCCAGTTCCACAGGGCAGCACCTCCAAGCTCTGAAGCTTGGGGACCCAGGCAGGGCTGGGTGTGGGCTCAGACTCCAAGTTCCAGGGGTCGGGGGACCCAGGCAGGGCTGGGTGTGGGGCTCAGGGCCTCAGTGGTTTTGCTCAGCTCTTGACACCGCAGCACGGGGCCTGTCATCCCAGTTCTCCGGGCCTGTGTCCTCAAGTCAGATGCAGGCTGGGGAGTGCACGTGGAGCTCCCACTGTGGCGGCAATGCCGTAAGGCTGCTCTCTGTCCCCCCTCCAAACCCCGGTGTGACAAGTCCGTGGCTCAAGCTCAGGAACCACAGGCTGTCTGCTCATGGTGGAAAACAAGGTCAAGCGTGTGGCTGTGGGCCAGGCCGGCTCACATCTGGAAGTCCGCTGGTGTGGAGGCAAGAGGAGCCCTTCTGCAGCAGGATGGCCCTCGGGACAGCAGCGGGGTTTAGGGCTCTGTCTCATGCCCTGCTGCTGGCTCCCGAGGCCGAGTGCCTCGAAGGGGGCCACACACACACACAGCTGATCCCTGGAGGCGAAGGAACCTAGGCGACGAGGGTGGCGGCTGGGCCTGCGCAGGGAGGCGCCAAGGGTGGAAACCACAACAGGGTCAGTCCCACGAGAGTCTGTCCCAGGCCTGCCGCCCCCGGCCCAACTGCAGGGTGTGTGCCATTGCCGCTGCTGGGGAGCGTGGTATGGGCCAAGAGAGCAGTGACTCCGGGAGGAGGTGCGAAGGGGCCCAGGGTGCCAGTGCTGGTGCCCACATGGGCAGGGCTGGGCCTCACGTCTGGGCCAGCGAGAGCTCCTCCAAGCCTCCCTTCCCCAGGCGGTACCTGGCGAGGTCCTTCCTGGTCACCAGCCCAACAACCTGCAGGACAAGGCCAGGCCACAGTGACCCATGGGTCAGCCCCCACCTGCCCATGGAGGCCCCTGGTCAGCACAGCCAGGAGCCCTGCAGGCTTCAGCACAGCCCCTGAGCTGAGCACAGGGCTGGGAAGGGGTGCAGCCATGGGGCATGGGCCATGGTGCTGGGTCTGTGCCTCAGCGTCCCCAGCAGGGAGCTAAGCATGTGTAGGAGGCAGAGGGGCCCCGCACAGCCCAGCACATCCCCGCCCCCGCTCACCTGATTGCGGTTGTCCACTACCACCAGGTGCCGCAGGCCCAGGGCCCGGAATAGCTTGAACACACGCGGGAGCGACGCCTCCTGCAGGGGGACACAGCTGTCAGCAGCTGCCCACACGCCAGAGGCAGGCAGGACCTCCCCGTGGCTCCCAGCACCCACTCCACGGTGTCCAGGCACGTCCTGGGCCTCCACGCCCGTCTGGTCAGCCTGTTTGGCCTCCGACTTTGGCTCTATGACCCAAACCCTCAATCCCTGCTGCCCAGGGATCCTGGAAACCCTGCCAGGCCCCCTTCCCGGGAGACAGTCACTGAGTCCCGGCCGCCTTTCGCCCTCCCCTGTGCCCCTGGCTACCCCTCCAGGAGGCTCTGGATCACACAGCCCACTGTTTGGCCCTGAGCCCCTGCGCCTCCACTCTGCACGTGCCTGGGGCACTGTGTAGGGGGAGGGGTTCATGAACTCGGAGAGGTCCATGGTGCACTCCCGCTCGTCCTGGGACACGTGGATGGACTGGATGGGCGGGAAGCGCGGGTAGGCATCGCGGAAGTCCTTCAGCCTCAGGCGCCGCTGCACCAGGCCCATGTTGGAGCGCTCGACAAACACCTGTGGGTGGCAGATCCCTGATCAGGCACCTGTGCGGCATCCCAGGGGCTCGCACCCGCCGGCGCTCCAGAGCTTGGCGCGTACCTTGTGCTTGAGGAGGACGATGAGCTGCGAGCGCAGGATCAGGCCCTGGAGCCGAGCCGGCTGCAAGAGATGCCCGCTGTCAGAGCCACGGCCCCTGAGGCAGGGCTGCACTGGATGCTGTGCCGGGCCCCAGCTCCGGCCCTGCTCTAGCTCAATGCCCCATATGGGTGTGGGTGCTGTGTCAATGGCCACCTGCTCATACCAGCCTTGCCGTGGCATTCCACGTGCATAATGCCATGGGTTCCCAAGTATCAGTGACAGAGCAGCAGGTCTGACCGTACACAGCAGAAAGCCAGGGGCCCAAGGAGGGGGGCTCTGCTGTGGGGCAGATGCAGCTCCACTGTGCCCAATAAAAACCAACCCCAAATCCCCAGTGTCCACGTCCAAGGGGTGCATGGCAGTGGCCGAGCTGCGTGTCCTGTCAGGGCCTCCTGACGAAGTCCTGGCCCCCAGTGCCGTGGGTATGCCCAGCCCAGGTGCTGACCTCAAGGCCCTGACAGGCCGCAACCCCACCCAGCCTCGGCACCCACACGGCCCTACGTGGCCCCGCACTCAGCTCCTGGCGCTCCCAGAACCGACAGGTGCACCCGAATGCGCTGCCTCCCGTCCTGCCAACCTCGCCGTGTGCTTCCCACAGCTGGGCTGGACAGAGGGCGTGAGTGAGACCCAGTCTGTGGGGCGCCCGGTACCTGGCTGTCATCTGCATGCTCCACCACGGGGAAGCCATTGTGATTGGACGCCGTGTCGCTCAGCACGTCCACGATGACGCCGACCTTCTCACGCCGCCTCAGGCAGGTCACCGGTGTGCTCATCACCTCCCTGCCAGAGGAGCCCGGCCACACATGCCCGTCATGCGCCACCAACTCCCATGGTCACCCCCACAGGCTGCTGGACGGGAAACGCAGAGCCGCCTGGAGCCCGCAGCCGCACATCCCGCCCCTGTGCAACAAGAGCCACCGGACAGCCTCCCCGCCCACAGCTGCCACGTGCCATACCTGGCAGTGAGTGAGTGCGAGGTGACCGGGGCCTCCCAGTGCAGGAAGGGCACGCTCTGCAGCTGAATGTGCATGTCGTACAGGCCCTGCAGGTGGACGGGACACGGGGCTGGAGGCCACGCCCACCCCTCGGGACAGGCTGTTTTGGAGACTGGCTCTCAGAGACCCCTCCCCGCCTCCACACTCTCAGGGTGAGGCTTTGAGGCCAGGCGCACCTCGATGAAGACGTCACCCACGATCTTGGCAGTCATGAGCACCAGCATGATGGGGAAGCCGTAGGTCACGTTGCTGGTGGCCTCCATCATGATGACCGTCAGGCTCAGGGTCATCCGCACGATCCCACCTGCGGAAGCAGTCATGAGCCCCGGCACATCCACCCTGCCAGCTCAGGGTCACGTGGCCACCGCCTTTTCTGTGCAGCCCACGGTCCGCCTGCCCCAGACCTGAGCCCTGCAAGGACGGCCACCGCCCCCTCCTGACCCTGTCGAGGCCCCCCGCCCACCAGGCAAGAGCCAGGACCTACCCAGCTGAGCAGCAGCTCCCATCAGGGCGTATTTCCCGGGGTCTGCCCAGATCTGCAGGAGGTGACACGGAAGTGTCAGTGTGGTGGAAGGCCCCTGCCCAAACCCACCAAGATACAGACAGAGGAGGCCCTGCCCTGGAGCCCCACGCCCAGGAGCCAACCCCGTGGCGGCAGACACACGTGCATGGGCTGCTGGGGACACCGCACCCTCTGCCTGGACCCGGCATTCAGTGCATGAGCAACAGGGGAGCAACAGGGTGCGGGTGCAAAGGCCACAGTCATCCACGCAGCATGCCCACGCTGACTGGGGAGCACCGCCCAGCCTGAGGAGCGGAACTCCAGCACACAGGACACAGAGGGCCCCGGGAACATGAGGCTTGGTCACAGAACCCACGCACAGAAGGGCACTGACGGTGACCCCATGAAGAGGCAATGTCGGGGGCAGGCAGAGCCAGTCCGGAGGACCACGGTGGCTGCCAGGGCTGGGGGCCGGGAAACGCAGGGCATGAGTGCGGGTGGGCGCAGGGTTTCTGCTCTGGGACGGAACGTTCTAGAAGTGGTAGTGACAATCACACTGCCCCATGAACGTGAGAAACGCTGCTAAATCGTCCACTTTAAAAGGGTGAACCTTACGGCACGTGAATCATGTTTCCATTTTAAAAATCAAACCAAATCAAACACTTGTGCAGGGGGAGACAAGCAGAGCACAGGGGCCTGGGGAGCGGGATGGGGGCCTCCAGTCGGGGCCTCTTAAAGTCTTTCAGTGTCATTTAAATGACTGAAATGAGACATGGAGAACACATGGAGGAACCCAGCCCCAGCGGAGGCAGGCGGAGGAGGCAGGCCTGCGGGGGCCGAGGTCCTGCGGGCAGCGGATGCTGCTCTGGTCCCGGCCTCCCGGAGAGTAGCCCTGGTGGGGTGTCTACCCCGTGGAGTCCACAAGCACCTCTGCAGCAGCCCAGAATCATCCTTGCTTTTCACCACATTCTCACGAATGAGGACAGAAGCCTCCGCCCCAGCCTCGGCCGGGTCCAGACTCCACGCAGGGGCTATGCTGCCGCAGTGAACCTGCTTCCCCCACTGCGGGACAACCGCCACAGCCTGTGAACCATGCAAGGTGCAACGCTTTCCTCATCCCACCCCGGGACCCCTGCTCCGGCCCCACTCACCGCTGCCCCCGTGAGGTACGACAGGGAGATGCCAAAGAGCCGGCCCCAGGCGGCCCCGATGAGCAGGGATGGGATGAAGACCCCAGCAGACACTGTGAGCCCATAGGTCCAGCAGGCCAGGAAGAAGTAGACCAGTGTGAACAGGCCGAGGGTCAGGGGGTTGTAGGAGCCTGGGAAAGAAGAGGGGCTGACGGGGCCTCCACAGGACTCACGCCCAAGGCAGGACGGCCCTGCCCCGCTGCCCAGTCTCAGGCCTTAGTCACCTTCCGGGATCCTAGCAGTCTGAACCCCCAGGCCCCGCGGTTCCCAGAAGCCTCCCTGTTCTCAGCCTCCCAGGGAAGCAGAAAGGCTGGAGTGTGGGTAACCCCCCATACAGGCACCGAGGAATGAGAGCTAAGCAGAGCCCTGGCACAGTTAGGGCTTGAGGAGTATCTCACTTTATAGTGTTAATACTCAGCTATTTCCTTCTGTATTTCCTTTACAAAATCCTATATTAGTTTATAGAAATAGGGCTTGAAGGCTCCCTTTATATAACCCTCTCTATATAATCATATAATAGTTGATAATATGAGTGCCTAAAGAATACTTCCCTACATATATACCTATAATTATATCTTAGTTCATAGTCGGAAGAATGCCTAGAGCTGACACAGTACAGAGCACAAATTAAGGAATAAGCAGCTTATAGTCGGAGGAATGCCTAGAGCAGACACAGTGCAGAGCATGATTTCAGGGAAAACAGTTATACCGGGACAAGAATCCATGGCCCAGGCGGCAGCGTTCAGTATCGGAAAGATACCCGCTGTATGGCAGGCGTGGGGCGAGAGCCACTCCTCCTGATGAAGGAGTTGTAGGACCTTGCTCCAGTTCTTGAGGAAGGCTGCCCTCAGAACGGCAATCCACCTTGGTGACCGTGAACTCTATCAGCTCTTGCTACTGTGCTGCTTGAAAAGCATCTTCCCATAGAACCCATTGGAAGCTGCCAGCAGGTGGCGGTAACCCTGACAGCTCTGTCACTGCTGTGTGACTTAAAGCATCCTCCATAAATCTTAGTAGTTTCCCAGATAGACGTATTGCGCACTGCACCCTCTTCACTGCGCACGGCCCACCTTCAAGCCTCGGCGACCTAATGGAGGTGGACCCCTTACTGCACACGGCCCTTGCCTTTGTGGGAATGGGCCCCTTGCTGTGCACCGTCCACCTCCTGGCCTAGGTGCCTAATGGGGGTGGACTCTATGTTTTATTGCTCATGACCCTATCACTGTCCTTAAAGATGATTTCACTCACTGCCCTGCCCCCTAACCTGTACACAATAAATACTCATGCTTCTGGACATTCGGGGCCTCGCCTGACTCCGCTTATAGATGGCGTGGCCCCCCGAGCCCAGCTGCATTTTCTTTGTACTTCTGTGTCCTGTCTCTTTATTTCTCGGATCCTGCGCCTCAGCACAGCACAAGGCTCACCCCACGACCCTGTGGGGCACTCAGCCCTACATCTGGCTCCCAACGTGCCCTACGTTGGAGGATCCCATGGGGAAGGCGCAGGGAAGGAGGCTTCACGGGCAGGCGCCACGGTGCAGCTTGCAGCCTGGCTCTGGGAAGAGGGCACCCTCCACAGCCTGGAGGTTCCTTCCTGGGGCATTACTCTGGGTGTGGGGCGAGCGGGGCCACTGGGGAACGCAATCGCAGAGGTACAAAGCAGGTGCTCCAAAGCCGTGGTCTGGCTTCCATGAAAAACTGTGGTCGGCACAGTGTGGGCCTTGCACAGTTTGAGGGTTCGCCGTCTCTCAAAAAAGAGAAGAAAACCAGGCTGGATTTCTTTTTTTTTTGAGAGAGGGTCTCGCTCTGTCACCCAGGCTGGTGTGCAGTGGTGTAATCACGACTCACTGTGGCCTCAACCTCCTGGGCTCAAGTGATCCTCCCGCCCCAGCCTCCTGAGTACCTAGGACTGTGGGCGCACCTCTGCCCCCAGTTAATCTTGCTTTTTTCGTACAGAAAGAGTCTTGCTGTGCTGCCCAGGCTGGTCTTGACCTGGGCTCAAGCGATTCTCCTGCCTTGGTCTCCCAAAGTGCTGGGATTACAGGAGTAAGCCCTTGCTCTAGCCCATGCTAGGAATGATCTCCCAGCCCAAGGCTTCGACCTCAGCCCACAGGGGACACTCAGCCAGAAGGCATCATCCAAGCACCTGCCCGGCGGCACTGTCCGCACACACCTGGCGGGTCGTGGAAGAGGCTCACCACGCTCTTCTCCGGGGTGTTGAAGAAGGCCGCAGCCATGGAGTTGTACTCGCCATCTGCACAGAAGAGCTGTGAGGTCGGGAGAGAGCAGGTGTTGGGAGGGGAGACAGGCCGGTGCGCTGCAGGCAGCCTTGGTGTCGCCATGTGCAGCCATGCACGCTGCCTGGCCAGCATCGGAACGAGACCATACGACCCTGCCACTGGGTCAGGGCCACAGTCACAGAAGGGAAGGAGCACACATGGCTCAGGTCCAGACCCAGCAGAGGCTGCAGAGGCTGCAGAGCCACATCCAGCCCTGGGGTAGGTCAGCAGGCCCCTGGGCTGGGAGGCCGTCCGTCCCTGGAGCCAGGGCAAGGTGGGCCCAGATGCTCAACGTCAGCTCCTAGAAGAGGCTGTCTCTGGGCTCCGGCAGCACTGGGGCTGCTGTCCACGGATGGGAGCGGAATGCAGCAAGGCTGGTCAACCCCACAGCCTGGGCCTCCCACACTTCTGACTGTTCACATCTGTCCCGTCAGCGCCCACCACATCCTGCCTGCCCCTGCCCCGGCCCTCATTGGTCTGCTGGGCCTGTGACTTTCCCTGTTCCGGGTGTTTCACATTAACAGAGCTACACCCCGTGGCCTCCTGTGTGGCTCCTCGGAGCACGGTGTCTTCCAGGGCAGCTGTGTCACCATACAGAAGGGCACATGGGCTATGGTGAGCCGTGAGCACCAGGCACAGGCTAGGGTGTGTGTGGATGGAGCTTTGCATTTCTCCTGGGTCCACATCTATGGGGCCCCGGGCTTCTGAGGCTCTCCTCGTCAGGCTGCCATTCTGGGAAGGGGACTGGGAGGGCCTTTGGCCCCCACACCACCGCCTGCTCCCAACACCTCGGCAGACACCTGGCCTGCTCTCAGATCTGGGCGGACGGCGCTAGCCCTCCGAGACACGCGAGCCAGTGTGCTTCTAGAACTCCGTGCGGCGGGCAGCCCCCTCCCGAGGCCTCAACAAGGCTCCTGGAGGCCCTGCGGCTGCCCTGCCTGCTGGACCCCGCCCGGCATGGGCCTCCTACCTGCAGCGGGTAGGACATGGAGCTCCCCTGCAGGGGCTGGCAATCCCGAGACGAGTAAATCAGCACAAAGGCGACCGTGGCCGTGACGGCGGCCACCAGCATGGCCTCGATCACCTGCAGGCAGGGCCGGTGGATGTACCTGGAACCAAGAGTCAAGCTGCACCATGGGCGACATGGCAGCACGGCCCCTCGGCATTTGCCAGGCAACCTGAGTCCCTGGTCAAGGACACTGGGCCCGTGTTTCGGCAGCAGTCAGGAGCCCCAATGTCCTGGGGTCGTCCTCCTCCCTGGGGCAAGGACTCCCACAGCAACTCTTCCTGACGAGTGGGAGGCAGCCCTGCCAGTGCTCCTGCTGCGCCCGGCAGTACTGAACTGGGCACGGACCAAGAAGGAATAAATCAGGAGCCCCCGGCGTCCAAGGACAGCTCCGGCTGCTGCTGGGCAGAGCCGGGTGAAGGCCAGGTGTGCCTCACCAGGCCTGATCCTGCACCCACAGTGGCCTCGCTTCCTCCCCAGGGGCCGTCCTCCAGGAGCCCTTGCTCTCCCAGCGTTGGGCTCGCCTGTGCCCTCCAGGGTCCAGGACACATCTCTGAGCAGCTCTAGCAGGGAAGCCATCAGGGTGGGCACTGAGCACACAGCCTTTCTTCCAGACGAGGCCAAAGGGCATAAACCCCATGCCACGTCTGTTTTTTTTTCTTTTTTGAGAGGGAGTCTCACTCTGTCACCCAGGCTGGAGTGCAGTGGCATGATCTCAGCTTACTGTAACCTTTCATTCCCAGATTCAAATGATTCTCCTGCCTCAGCCTCCCAAGTAGCTGCGATTACACTCGCCCACCACCACCAGGATGGTCTTGATCTCCTGACCTCACGATCTGCCCGCCTCAGCCTCCCAAAGTGCTGGGATTACAGGTGTGAGCCACCGTGCCCTGCCTACCACATCTGCTTTCGAAGGGCCTGTGTGGTCACGCCTGCCAGCACAATATGCAATGCGGTTTCTCCCTCACCTGATTCGAAACATGGTCAGCCAGTAGTTCAAGGCGTTGAACACAGCTCCGAGCACACCGCCTGCGGCCAGAAGAAAGCCCAGTCGGCTTCGTGGGAGGGAAGGTGCAGGCCTCCGCCCGCTGCCTCCCAGAAGGCGGGAGAAGCTCCAGGGTTTACAGAGGGAAGGGGATGGCAGGGGGTGGGAAGGGGATGGCAGGGGGTGTGGTGGGGGGGTCCCAGTAAGATGTTTCCTCTGCATTGTCACAGGGCTGGGGGGCTGTTTCTCAAAGGCTCTGCCTTCCTTCCAGAGAAAAGGTAAAATAAACGCTGTTAGGACCAATCCTACCTCCTGGAAGAAAACCCATCCACCCTGCACCCTGCTGTTTTCCCCACAGAGAAAAAAACAACAGGAAGCACAGAAGCAAAGCTTTTTGAGTGTGCTGCCCGTGGAAGCATCTGGAAGGAGCAGGCCCCCTGGTGGCCCTGGGATGGGGGCAGGCTCGAGGCTGGCGTGGCCTCCAGTCCTCGCCTCTCTGGCCTATCACGGCGGAGCTTGGCCCACAGGCCGCCTGCAGCGCTGGGGGTGCCCTTACCTACCACGCCCATGGCGATGAAGACAGGGATCTCGTGGATGGTGTAGGCCATTTTCTGTGGAGAGAGGAGAAGGCGGAGGAGGGGAGGGAAAGGGCCCACTGCTCCTCTCTGCTGAAACTCAGGACCACCATCGTGAGAGAGCTGTCCCCACACGGGGCCTTCCCGCACTTCCACGCAGGCTGCAGAAGTCCATGGGACAGAAATGCGCTGGGTGTTTGGAGCAGGCCTGGCCCTACACGCCTCTGCCACTTCCTGCCACCCTCAGCACCCAGGCGGGGAGGGACTGAAGCACTGGGAACACCGTCCGTGAGCCCCGGGTTTTCCGCACAGAGCTGTCCTGCAGTGCATCCAGAACCCGCCCCGTCAACGGCACGGAGAGGCCGCAGCCCAGGCCCCAGGCTGCCTTGTAAACAAGCCCCAAGCCCACCGGCCCCCACAGGGCTGCTGCACGTGCCCAGGCCGTGGGAGGTCCCACGCACGTCACAGCTGTGTAACGTGTGCACACGGCACCGGACCCCAGAGGCAGCTTGGGGTGCCGTACTGCAGCCCCTCAGGCCCTGGAGCTCACACAAGAGCTCAGCTCCACAGCGACGAGCCAGAGTTTCCAAACGACCGAATTCTCAGTCTGGCCTTAAGCAAACAGGGTCCTGGCCCAGGACTTGAGGGGGTGAGGCGGGCGAAGGGGTGAGGCGGGCGAGGGGGTGAGGCGGGCGAGGGGGTGAGGTGGGCGAGGCGGTGAGGTGGGTGAGGCGGGCAGCTTACCTCCGAGTCAAATCTTCCGAAGTTGATGAGGCCCGGGCTGGACAGGTCCCACATGTTCCCGTGGTAAATGCTCAGAACAAAATTCAGGGTGAACGTGGAGATCATGGAAGCAAAGAACTGCGGTGGAGAGCAGAAAACCAGCACCCTCAGAGCCTCGCCCAGCCCAGGGCCCAAGGACCAGCAGGGACTACCGCCCCGCCTGTCAGCTGGGGGCCAGGAGTCTGCAGACCCCGCCCCAGGAAGAAGGGAAGGGGCTGGAGCCAGGGGCAGACACACTGTGCCAGGAAGGAAGTGCCCAGCCATCTCTGGACTCGCCAGTGGAGGGCAAGAGGGGACAGTGGGGCAGGGTCTGGGTTCCCGGCTGTTTGATCCCCTGTCTGGAGCTGGCAGTGGTGCCCAAGACCAAGGGTGAACTGGGCAGCAAAGGCACGACCACTGCTTTAGGCAGGGCTGGGGCCTGACAGACCCACAGGGGGTCCAGCTCCAGCCGCAGCTCGATGGGCGGCCCCAGGATGGGGACTGAGCGCAGCACCCACCCTGACGGGGCAGCAGCCATCAGCAGGCACTTACGATTCTCCATGTCAGGAACTGGTTCCAGAATGACGCGCCCTCCTCCAGGCTGAACAGGACCCCACCTGGAAGGCAGGGCCGACTCAGGTGCCAGCTGGACACAGGGCACCATGCTGACCACCAGCTCCTGCCCGCAGGCCACAGGGAGCCCAGACTACGGCAGAAGGAAGCTACTGGGGTGGGCCCCAGCCACGCAGAGAGGGACCCCGAGGGAGGTCCGAGGGCCAGGCCCATGTACACTGACGGCTACTGCCTGCCACTTCCAAATCCCCCAGCTGTGACTCTGAGCCTCCTTCTGCCCACCCTCAGCAGGCACTGGGCCTGCAGACAGGAAACTATTGCTCCAACCCACGGCGTGAGCACAGCTTCCCAGACCCCGCCGGCCATGAGGCTCCCAAGGGCAAAGCTTTGGACCAGGCACGGCCCTCCTCACCCACGGGGGCTCCAAACGCCGCTGACACTCCGGCTGCGGCCCCTGCGGAAACGAAGTCCCGCTTCTCTGTGTCTCTGCGGAAGTACTCGAAGATCTGCAACAGGGACACAGCGTTGGGGCACGTTCCTTGAAGGCACAGCTCTCAGAAAGAGAGAGTGGCCGAGGGCGGCCCAGACAGGGGCTGTGCAGGGGAAGGGGCTTTCGGGATGATTGAGTCACCAGCTCTGATTCCAGAAGGGCACCTCGCTGCAGACCACGGCAAGAGACAGCAGGGTCAGCACCGCCACCAGCAGCCCAGAGAAACACGGAAAGACTCAGCCAGGAACTCGACTTTCCAGGACATGCAAGATTCCAAAAACCTCTACTTTCTACTGAAAACCGCATGGATGGAAACCACGAGAACACTGCCTGCCTCTGAATGCACCCATGGCCGGGCGCAGTGGCTCACATCTGTAATCCCAGCACGTTGGGAGGCTGAGACGGGCGGATCACCTGAGGTCAGGAGTTCGAGACCAGCCTGGCCAACATGAAGAAACCTCGCCTCTACTAAAAATACAAAAAAATTAGCCGGGTGTGGTGGTGCCCGCTGTAATCCCAGCTACTTGGGAGGCTGAGACAGGAGAATCGCTTGAACCCAGGAGGTGGAGGCTGCAGTGAGCCGAGATTGCACCACCACACTCCAGCCTGGGTAACAGAAACTCTACCTCAAAAAAGAAGAAAGAAACATAAATTCACACACAAATGCAGCTGGATCCCCATCAACATGTTGGGGGCTTTTTTGGGAAAAAAACTGTTCCAAAGTGTATCCTGAGAAATGAGCATCAGGTGGACACCCTCAGTCTCCAGTTCTGTGCTCCTCTGAGAAGCTGCGTGGAGCCACAGACCGTACTGGAAACGCAGACACGTGTGTGGCAGGGGCTCCAGGAGGGAAGTGTGGAGCAGTGAAGGCTTGCAGGCAGGGACTGTGACCAGCGGCTCTGGGAGCCACCACCAGGCTGTCCTCAGAGGGGCTGGGGTTCTCGGCCAGGGGTGCTGAGGGCAGCCCATCTCCCTGAGCGGTGCCCGCGCCCATGCTCACACCCATGGCATCTGCAGCCCAACCACGCAAGGCAGAGCGTGGAACTCACCTTGAAATCTCTCTTGAGTGATGTTGACCTTCCTTGAGAGATCCCAGCAGCAATCACTGAGCCTGAGTGGATCATCGGCCCTTCCTGGAAGACCAGAAGCACCAGCACTCAGACACGCGGGCACAGCGTCCCTCTCGGCCCGAGCTGGGTGACCATGTGCACTGTTACCTTTCCCACCGCCAGGCCCCCGACCACGGACAGGATCACACCGGACACTTTGATCACTAGCGTCTGAAACACAGGAAAACATGTGGCCTCTGATCAAAGGGCAGGTGCTGTCCTTGGACCTGAGCTGTAAAACTGTACACACAGCTCTGATCGCGCAGGGCGGCCAGGACACGGGGCTTCCAGGACGGGCCAGCACCACCGCGGCTGGGTCTCCCCATGGCCACAGTGGGCGCTACCCAGCAGCCAAGCGTCCCCGCACACGCTAGGGGGTCCTGACTCTGTGGGCCTCAGCATTCAGTAGGGAAGGGGCGCTTTCCTTTTCCTTCTTCCTGAGGCAATGCTGGGCTGCCCACCCCATCCTACAGGCATAGGGAAGGAGTTCCCGCCAGCCCGGCCAGGCCCAGTGCGGCCCCTCACAGACCCCCAGCACAGGAGGAGTGGCCACTTGCAGCTCCACAATGCCCCCCAGCCGCTCCCCTCCCCTGGGACCTCATCCTCTCCACCTGAGGGGGTGTGTAAAGCGTGTGCCATCAGCCTCCCTGCCCCAGGCCAGAAGCTATGAGGCCGCAGACCCCAAAGAGAAGGGCGCGCTGAGCTGTGGGGTTGGCTCATGTTAAAGGTGCTGAGGAAAGCAACCTCAAGCCTCAACCAACAAAAGATACGCGGCAATATCCTAGAAGGCTCCAGCCAGCCAGGCATGGGTGACAGGCCGGCCATCATTCCCAGCTGCTTCAGGAAACCGTATCTCCCACCACAGGGCAAGGGCACCACAAGGTCACCGGCAGCTTTCGCCAGAGGGGACACACCACCCCCGAAACACTCTCAGGGGGCAGCTGCCACACTGCCCACTCCTCCTCAGATGGGACCGGGCTCCAGCAAGTCTCAGGCCACAGAACGCGGGCGGTACACACAGAAGCGACCACAGCAGAACCGGGCCAGAACTACCAGCGCCCCCAGAACCAGATGCTCTGCATAACGCCAGGAGTAAGTGAGCACAGGCCAACTGTAAATGGGAAATACTGCTAACGCCCACCACCGCGACGGCTTCCACCGTGTACCCGTCACCGCCACGCAGCCCGCAGTCACAGACACACGGCACAGCTGTGGCGGTACATGCGACATGCGGCATTTCTCCACGACCTACTCATTTTTTACAAGACTCAGTATGTGCAAATACCAGTTTTTACCATTTAAAGAGCTGACCCCTTTACACCCAACCAGCCCGTCTGCCCTCAGCGTAACCAGCACACAAGGTGGCCGAGGCCAGTTCTGGAAGGCGGGCAGACAAAAGAGCTGTTCCCGACGTGGCGAAGAGCTTGCACCCACCCACGGCCAGCCAGGCCCGCTGAGCCCGCACCTTGAGCCGCACCACGTGGGGGATCTTCACCCCGTTGAGGAAGCACTTGATCTGTGGGATTCCACTGCCGGCTGCCACTGGCTGAAACGGGAAGCACAGATGAGTGGGTCACGGCCAGGCTGAGTCAGAGCCCCAGAGCCCAGGAGTCGGGGGGCTCAGCACACACGTCAGGGTCGCACGTCGGGGCTCAGCTGCTCTCACTCTTCCCAGCCCAGACATAGATCAAGGACACAGTGGGGGTGGAGGTGGAGATGGAAGGAGGGTAGGGCAGGGTGAGGAGGCTGCAGGAGGGAGGCAGCGGGGTCTGGGGGGGCCCCGGGCCTGTGCTGCTGGGTCAGGAGCAGTGCCCCAGGGCTCTGAGCGTGAAGAAGCCCTGGTTTATCTGCTCCTCCTGAGGTCCACGTGATTCTAGAAAGTTGCCAGCCAATGGGACAGTGGGGGGAGGTGAGCTCCAGGGGTTCCCACCCGTTCACCCACACACCCAATCCCACATGGGGTCCGACAGCCTGGGGGCACCCTGCCACATACCTCTATGAAGGCCACGATAACGGAGCCCACGAGCACGAAGGCGGCATTCAGCGTGGCCCACAGCAACAGGGAGAAGGACAGCCCGCCCTTCTCCGTGAACTTATCAATATCTGGGGCTCATCAAGGAGGGTCTGCAGCTTCCCTGTCAGGACCACCCACCCTGGACTCCGGCCCTACCCCATGGCCCAGCCTGGCAGATGCCACCCTGCTCAGCGGAGCCATGACGCTCACTGGACATCCCAGAAACATCTCAGGGCCCAAACACGACAGGGACGTGGCCAGTGCAGACAGGTCACCTCCACCTGCCCTGGAACACACCAGGCTCAGGGCTTCTGCCCGGGACTGAGCCCAGGCCGCACCCCCCAGCCACCCACAGCTGCACCCGCCGCACTGGGAAGGATACTGCCCTTGATGACCCTGTACTTCAGGCCGGCCAGGTTCTCCACCACGATGTCGATGAAGCAGGCCACAAGGCCCGTGAGGATCCCGATGAGGGCGCAGATGACCCAGCGCTTGATCTCCACCGTCCGGAAGGCCTGCGGGCGCACGGGCAGAGCGAGGGACAGGGCAGGGCCCTGACTCAGGTTGCTCTGGCAGCAGCAGGACTGTCCCGGCCGCCTGCAGGCTCCGGGATTCCGAAGGCCCCAGTGCGGTGAGTCCCACAAAAGGCAGCTTCTGGCTAACATCTGAGCAACCAGGGGCACCCGGGGCCTGAGGGCGACTCCTCACAGATTCACAACCAGTGCTTGCTACGCCGGGCGCCGCATCTGGCGGCCAAAAGAGCAGCCTTCTCGGGAACGGTGACCATGGCTCTCCCGCCACCTCCAGAAACCAGAGGAACCCGCGGGCCTCGGAGGCGGACAGGGAGGGCGCGCCCCTCTCCCCAAGCCCCGCGTGTGGGCCCTGCAGGCAGCGGCGCCCGGCTCACCGCGTGGTTGATCCGCCGCTCCTCCTCCAGGAACAGCTGGTTCTCACTGTTGTCGTAGTCCAGGCTCTGCGGGCCGGGACAGCAGGGCGAGCGCTCAGCACCCACCCGGCACTCCGGGGATGCGCACCGGAGACCGGGGGCGGGTTTGGGGGGCAGAGGCCAGGTCTCAGGGCTGGGGGGACAGGGAGCGCCCACCTCATACTTGAGGGACAGGAGCTTCTCGTTGTGCGGGATCTCCTTGGGGAAGGGATGCGGAGGGTCCATATCCTGTGGCAGAAAAAGGCAAAGAAAAGGCCACAGATGAAAAGGCCACCCACAAGGAACAAGGCACAGAGGAGGGGGCGCCCCTCGGCGCACTCCCGAAGCGGGTATCACCCCGACACGAAGGACAAGGGCATGGCAAGAGAACCACATGCCGGTGAGGTGGCTCGCTCCTGGAATTCCGGCACTTTGGGAGGCCGAGGTGAGCGGGTCACCTGAAGTCAGGCGCTCCAGACCAGCCTGACCAACAAGGTGACACCATGTCTCTGCTAAAAATACAAAAATTAAGGCCAGGTGCAGTGGCTCACGCCTGTAATCCCAGCACTTTGGGAGGCTGAGGTGGGTGGATCACAAGGTCAAGAGATCGAGACCATTTTTACAATTTTTTTAAAATAAAAAAATGATAATAAGAATAAAAATACAAAAATTAGCCGAGCTTGGTGGCGGGCATCTGTAATCCCAGCTACTCGGAGGCTGAGATGGGAGAATCCTGTGAACCCGGGAGACACAGGTTGCAGTGAGCCAAGACCGCACCACTGCACTACAGCTTGGGTGACAAAGCGAGAATCCATCTCAAAAAAATAAATAAATGAAACTACAGAACAACACCCCCACAACCACAGATGCAAAGATCTTTGGCAAGACACAAGCAAAACGATTCCAGCAACGCCGGGGCAAAGTGGATTCAGCCTAGAAAAACAGGGTAGTTGAACACCCAAAATCAATCCATGAGGCCAGGTGTGGTGGCTCACACCTGTAATCCTAGCACTGTGGGAGGTGGGGGCAAGAGGACCAGCTGAGGCTGGGAGTTCAAGACCAGCCTGGGCAACAGAGCAAGACCCTAATTTTTTTTTTTTTTTATTGAGACAGAGTTGCTCTGTTGCCCAGGCTGGAGTGTAATTGCTCGATCTGGGCTCACTGCAACCTCCATGGGTTCAAGCCATTCTCCTGCCTCACTCAGCCTCCCGAAAAGCTGGGATTACAGGTATGTGCCACCACGCCTGCCTAATTTTTGTATTTTTAGTAGAGACGGTTTCACCATATTAGCCAGGCTGGTCTCCAACACCTGACCTCAAGTGATCCATCCGGCCTGGGCAACACAGTGAGACCCCAACTCTAAAAAAAAAAAAAGAGGGGCATGGTACTGGCACAAGGACGACATTCAGAGGAACAGCACAGAGCTGAGAGTCCACACAGAAATCCAAAACACGTACGGTCCACTGATTTTCCACAATGGCATCAAAACACTTCAGTGGAGAAAGGCAGTGTTTTCAACCCCTGTCCAGACCCCTCGTGCCCTGTACTCCAACCTGAGACACTCCACCTGTCTGCTAGTCCAGCTGTCTCTGTGCACTCGGCCTCGGGGACCACATTCCCCCCCACCCCCCCACGCCTTTCCTGAGCCCCTGGCTCTGCGGCCTCACTGTGTCCCTGCCATTCTGCCCATCCCTGCGACCCTGCACTAGGACGCAGCTCCACGGGAGGACAAGCAGCGCCCCCCACTCACCGGGTCCAGAAGCTCATCATCCAGCTCCACGTTGCTCATCTGTCCAATTCGGAAAAGCGCAGAACGTGGTGACTAAAAGCAGAAGAGAAATCATGAGGGCACTCAGGCATCACACGGCCCGCACTGTGGGTTCTCATTCCCACTGCCACACCCCGGCCTCGCCTGACCCTGCCCGGGAGCTCAGGAATGGGCCGGGATGGGCCTCCCTGGGTGCCGGAAGCAGGCGGCCGTCCCTCCAGGTGCCCCTTGGGCTGTCAATGAAACATCCAGCCCCTGAGCCCAGGGCGCGGGCTCCCTGCTCTAGACTGCAGGCAAGGCACCAGCTGCCCACCTGGAAAGAAGGGCTGGAGAGCACCACTGTGCCCCAGGCCACCCCACCTACCCCTGCTCCTAAGGCCCTGCTCAGCCACCTGCCACCTCCACAAAATCCCCTCCGCTGCGGCCTTTCTGGGTCCTGAGACACAAACGGTCTAGAGTACTCAGGCTGCCCTCCCCATAGGATGGCCAGCTGTCGGGCAGAGCCAGGCGAGGTCTCAGCCACCCAAGGCTTTGCGGCCGTCCAAGCTCAGGGCAGGTGCAGGGCAGCAGGCCCCAGGAGGTGTGGTGCATGTGTGACTTACAGAGCTCCCACCCCAGTCTCCGGCTCCTCGCTGCAGCCAAGGCGCTGAGGCCAGGCTGGGAAGAGCCAAGACCTCAGCCTCCTTTCCCCAAAGAGGTCCTCTGGAGATGGCTCCAATTTCCACTATCTCCTGAACCTTTACCAACATCTAGGGCTGTGAAGGGAAGAAGGGCTGCCTCCCAGGCTGAGGGGCCATGTGCCCAGGGCGCCTGCTATCTGCATCAGAAAGCCCGTGTGCCCAAGAAGAGAGCGTCAGCAGCGGGGGAGGCCAGTGGCCAGCGCTGGCCGCGGAAAGACCGCCCCAAGGCTGCCGCTCACCTTCCCTCGGCAAATGCCCTCCTGGCCCCCAGCACTGTCCCCTTCCTCATCCCCCAACTGTCTCCCTCCACCGTCCCTGGCTCAGCCTCCCTCGTGAGGTTTCAGGAGGGCCTGTATGTGCTTCTTGGGGACAGAATTACAGGTGACAATGCCGGGAGCCCACTGGGCTGAGGTGGGGACAGGGAGACGCACGGACTGGCCCACACTGGGGCTCAATTCTCCTTCAACCTGCACCTACCCACAGGGATCACCATCACCACAGACAGGTAAGGACAGGGATGCAGAGGAGGAGGGGCTGGGACTTGAGGTCGCTGCGGGTCAGGGATGGGGTCCTGCTGCCGCTGGGTGCCCACCCCTGAGGGACGAGGGCTCCCCAAACCGCCATCCCAACGAGCCTTCAGAACCTGACCTTCCCAGCTGGGCGCGACGGCTCATGCCTATAATCACAGCACTTTGGGAGGCCCAGGCGGGCAGATCACTTGACACCAGGAGTTTGAGACCAGCCTAGCCAACATGGTGAAACCCCAATCTCTACTAAAAATACAAAAATTAGCCGGGCTACTTGGGAGGCTCAGGCAGAATCGTATGAACCCAGGAGGGGGAGGTTGCACCAATTCACTCCAACCTGAGCGACAGAGCAAGACTCCATCTTAAAAAAAAAAGAACCTGACCTTCCAGTCCACTGCCCTTCAGGAGCCCCTTCCCCCGCATCCTCCCGTTGTCCTTGGTGTGCACCGCCCCCTAACCCCGTGAGGATGACCCAGTGAGTGGCCCTGGCAGGGGGATGTGGGCACAGGCCACTGGCCCTTGGCAGACACCAGTCAGACCCTCCTCCTCTCCCCAGGCAAGGAGCACCCCCAGGCCACCCCCCTCGGAAGCCAGGATCAGAAGCCGGCCAGACAGATCCGCCAGTGCCCGTCATGCCACCTCCACGCCCAGGGGACCATGCGGGAGTGGCTGGACAGTGCGGGTCCTGCTGGACAGAGCCCTGAGTCACAGGGCACCGCCCCTCCACTGTCCCCAGCCTTGTCACAAGCCAGTGGCTCTCCCTGAGCCCTCAGACACAGGCGAAACTCACAGCTTGACTCTCCTACCACACGGGCTGACAGGGTGGGAGGAGGAAGGGACCACGGTCCAGGGGTGATGGAAGGGGTGGCCTGGCTAGCGGACCCCTCCTGCCCACTTCGAACTCCAGGTCTCACCACCAGAAAACAGCCCTGGGCCAGCGCTGGGCCTCTGGCCCCCAGCTCCCAGGTGGACAGGTGCCCCAGAGACCTTGGAACCCAAAAGAACCATTTCACTGTGAGGGACCCCACGTCCAAACGGGCACCCAATGGGACACGCCCTGCCTGCAGGGCCACTCTCCGCATCACTCAAGAGACGGCACGTGTCTCCCAATGCCACTGTGTGGTCTGCCGTGCTTCTGAGGCTGCTCCTTGTTGGAAATAATGGCTCATTCTGGCTGGGAGCGGTGGCTAAGCCTGTCATCCCAGCACTTTGGGAGGCCGCGGCAAGGGGATCGCTTGACCCTGGAGTTCAAAGCCAACACAGGCAACATAGTGAAATGTCATCTCTACAAAAAAGGGCACGTACCTATGGTCCAAACTACTCAGGAGGCTGAGGAAGAGGATCGCTTGAGCCTGGGAAGTCAAGGCTGCACTGAGCTATGATTGCACCACGGCTCTCTAGCCTGGCGGACACGGCAAGACACCTTCTCTAAAATTAAGACTTATTTTTTTAAAAATGCGAAACAGCCACAACCTCATGTCCTGGGCACCAGGCTCTGGAGGCCTTGAGGTGGGACACCGTCTACACTACAGCAGCACCATCCCGCAAGAGCAGGCAGAGCTGTGAACGAGTCAGGCTGAGGCAGAGGCTGACGGTGGAGCAGGTGAGCAGTGGGCCACCCCTGCCACCGCCTTCCCTTCTCAGCATCTCTTTCCTTAACCCAGGACTTTGAGAAGGCACCTTTCAGAATGGAAAAACATCATGTTTACTTCAAGTTGAGTGACACATTTGGTGCCGTTACTTTCTTCTTTAAATGAGTTATTATAAATTAAACATCAGCTACTGTTCCTCACACTCCTGACGCACACTGATGGACACTGATGGGAACAGGCATGCCCAGGGGACACATGCTGCTAAGAAGCCCAAGCGGGGGGACGCAGGCTGGAGGGGACACGTGCTGCTAAGAATCCCGAGTGGGGGGACGCGGGCTGGAGGGGACACGTGCTGCTAAGAATCCCGAGCGGGGGGACGCGGGCTGGAGGCAGCAAGGTCGTCAGGGTTGGGGATGGGAGGGACTAGAAAGGGGGCTGAGAACGGCCTTCGTCTCCTTCCCGGTGCTGACGGGGACCTACACGTGTTTTATCAATGACAATCTCTGGGTTTTGGTACCGTGCTATTTACAGAAAAGTAAACGCTGGGGAAACTTGGTGAAGGGCACACAAGCCACCCATGCAATCTTGCAGCTTCCGTTGGATCCAGAGTAACTTAAAAGTCAGAAAAGGGCCGGGTGCGGTGGCTCAGATCTGTCATCTCAGCACTTGGGGAGGCCCAGGAGGGCAGACCCCTTGAGGTCAGGAGCTTGAGACCAGCCTGGTCAACGTGACAAAACCCTGTCTCTATTAAAAATACAAAAATTAGCTGGGTGTGGTGGCAGGTGCCTGTAGTCCCAGCTACTTGGGAGATTGAGGCATGAGAATTGCTTGAATCTGGGAGGCAGAGGTTGCAATGAACCAAGATCGCACCACTGCACTCCAGCCTGGGCGACAGGGCAAGACCCCTTATCAAAACAAATAAAATAAAAGTAAAAAAAAGTATAGACAAGGAGAACTACATAAAACTTTAATACTTCTGTACATCAAAGAAAACACAGATTTACAGGAAAAAAGCCCATTCAAAAGTGGGCGAAGGATATGAACAGACACTTTACAAAAGAAGACATACATGAGGCCAACAAACATATGAAAAAATGCTCATCATCACTGGTCATCAGAGAAATGCAAATCAAAACAACATTGAGATACCATCTCACGCCAGTTAGAATGGCGATCATTAAAAAATCTGGAGACAACAGATGCTGGAGAGGATGTGGAGAAATAGGAACACTTTTGCACTGTTGGTGGGAGTGTAAACTAGTTCAACCATTGTGGAAGACAGTGTGGCAATTCCTCAAGGACCTAGAAATAGAAATTCCATTTGACCCAGCAATCCCATTACTGGGTACATATCCAAAGGATTACAAATCGTTCTACTATAAGGACATGTGCACACGAATGTTCACTGCAGCACAGTTTACAATAGCAAAGACCTGGAACCAACCCAAATGCCCATCGACGATAGACTGGATAAGGAAAATGTGGCACATATACACCATGGGATATTATGCAGCCATCAAGAACGATGAGTTTGGGTCCTTTGTAGGGACATGGATGAACCTGGAAACCATCATTCTCAGCAAACTGACAGAAGAGCAGAAGATCAAACACTGCATGTTCTCACCCATAGGCGGGTGTTGAACAATGAGAACACATGGACATAGGGAGGGAAGCACTACACACTGGGGTCAGTTGGGGGGAAATAGGGGAGGGACGGTGGGGGGTGGGGAGTTGGGGGTGGTAGCATGGGGAGAAATGCCAGATATAGGTGATGGGGAGGAGGGCAGCAAATCACACTGCCACGTGTGTACCTATGCAACAATCTTACATGTTCTTTACATGTACCCCCAAACCTAAAATGCAATTAAAAAAAAAGGAGAAAACAAAGGAAAAAGGCAACCTACAAAATGAGAAAATATCTGCAAATCTGGTAAGGGATCAATATTCAGAATCTATAAAAAACTCAGGGCCAGGTGAGGTGGCTCACATCTGTAATCTCAGCACTTTGCAAGACCGAGATGGGTGGATCACTTGAGGTCAGGAGCTCGAGACCAGCCTGGCCAACATAGTGAAACCCTGTCTCTACTAAAAATACAAAAATTACGTGGGTGTGAGGGTGCGTGTCTATAATCCCAGCTACTCGGGAGGCTTAGACAGGAGAAGCATCCGAACCTGGGAGGCAGAGGTTGCAGTGAGCCGAGATCGCACCACTGCACTCCAACCTGATGACAGAGTGAGCCTCCATCTCAAAAAAA